ACACACACACACACACACACACACACGCACATACACACGCGTATGCACACGCTCCCACACAAACACAGACACTCGTAGTACCCCACTCTGTCCTGATAATTTGGATTGGCAAAGTCTTTGCAATTTTCATTGGGATTCTCACAACAGAACCAGTGCTGGTAGTAATTATCCTTATTGTTCGTCCATCATGACCGATAATAACATAATGCCCAAGGAGGGAGAGAAGTTATAGATCTCGTTTGCCCTCGCAGGTATCTAGCCTTGCAAAGCTAAAAAAAAACAAATAAACAAAATACATTTAATAGCAAGCAACTTGAAATGATCACAACGCCACAACTTGCCACTGATGACAACGTCTTTCCCTCTCCTAAAGTAGTATGCTTAAACTGCCGAAATATATGACTGTTAGTAGGTTGCCACTGCCAGTATTATGTGTGAGGCAGGGTGGTGATATCGGGCGCTCGTCAAAATAGTCAAAGTGAGGAAACTCGCATTTCCCCCCCCAGGTTTGGGAATTTAAAAATAATTTTCGGTGTTTTTTTTTGGCTCAACACCTTTCATGCCCATTAAAGAACACATTTCGGTTTGGATTTTTACTGAAATGCATTGATTAAAGGCATAAAAGATGTAAATTATAAGTTTCTACTGACTCTCAAGCTAAGGAAATAACTAAATTTTGGCGGCCATTTTCTCGATAATTTTACTTCTGAAACCAGGCGACCACCACGTCCTTTAATCACAAATACTACGATTTGTATCCAAGATAAATAGATATTCTTTTCATCGAAAGCAAGGCAAATGGACAGGCTTTATTAAGATGATACTAATAACTCCAAATGCCCAAAAATTGACGATCGCCTGATTCTACCACATCGTGACAAATTTTCCTACTTGCTGAAATCCCCAGAACTGACCTCCCAGTACCAGTTGGACTTCAGTTCCCCCACAGTGATGGACTACGCCGAGCTCACCATAGACAAACCCCTCACATCCGTCACTGTGTCCTTCTGGATGAAGACAACAGACGAAGTGAACCAAGGAACACCCTTCTCTTACGCTGTCTTCGGGGAGCCCAACGCTCTCACGATAACGGACTATAAAAAGTAATTGTTTGGCTAACCTCACTACCACTGTAGATTTATAACTTCTTTTCTTACTCACTGCCTTATTTACTTTTCTTCTTACCTTAGACTCTCCCTTTCTCCCACCTATAGACCCATTTACTTACTTATGATTGTATAAATAAAACCACACACCCCCATTCTTCTATTAAAAAACCCCCAAAAAAACAAAACAACCAACAGCAAACAGCAACAACGACAACGACAACGACAACGACAACAACAACAACAGCAACAACAACAACAACATCATCATCAACAGCCTCCAAAACAAACAAACAAACAAAACAAACAAACAAACAAACAACAGTAAAAAACAAACAAAATCGAACCTCCCCCCCAAAAACAACAACAACAAACAACAAAAACAAAAACAAACAAATAAACAAACACATAAAAAAGTTAGATAACAGTAGTTCATCTGAGATTATTTCTACTTCTCCACCTTTCCTTACCTCACGTCACGCCACACCCCTACAGCCTAAACCTGATCATAAACGGTGAGACAATGAGCATTGGGCAACCCCTCAATGACGGTCAGTGGCATCACGTGGTCCTCACGTGGTCAAGCTATCGCGGCGACTGGAAGGCCTACGTAGATGGTCTGCTCAGGGACCAAGGGTACAACTTGTCCACCTCCAAGCCTATCCCAGGTCAGTGCTATGAGATCGTGATTACTACTTACGTAATACAGATATGTTATTACACTATACACGGATCCAGGGCAAGAAAGGCAATGATGATGTTAGCGATGTGCCAAGGGACCGCCCCCCCTCCCCTTCCTATTACAACGCATATCTCAGTTCAAAGACATTAGAAATAGTAAATTTAATATGTCTCAGCACCTCGACACAAATCCGGCCAGTGACAGAGCTTTAGAATAATAAATTCTAGCTACCTGGGAGAAAGATTTCTCCCCGTCCGTTTCAAAGCATAGAGCAGGTTAGTGTTATAATGAATCATAAATGCTACCAATTCCCTCAATGTCGAAAAAAAGCTATATTGTTAAGGGGGG